GGACTTTATCAAACAGATGCAATCAGTGTAACCTAATTCTTTGTACCCTCAATGAATCACAAATAATAAAAATAAATAAATAAAATCTAGGGAAAATTCTCAAAAAAGGGGGGGGTATTAGTAATGTTAGGTTCAGGGCATGAAAGTGGATCAAATTCAGCTTGTTTTCTCCAGACACTGCTTAGAAAGGCTAGACCTCAAGATGGAATTTGGATTGCAGGAACACAAAGCTCTTTCTCCTGTCATCTCTACATATCAAAATCATGCTACTAAAGCTCACCACAAATGCCATGTTTTCTATAAGCACCACATCAACTGGAAAGCATTTCTTTTGTTATGCCACTTTGTTTATTATACTAGCTATAAAACTAGAATATCAGTTTCCTAGGGCTATTGTAACAAAGTACTACAAACTAGCAGGTTTAAAATAACAGAAATTTGTTGTCTCCCAGTTCTAGAAGCTGGAATTCCTAAATCAAGGTGTCGGCAAGTCTATCCTCCTTCTGAAACCTGTAGGGGAGAATTCGTCTGTGCTTCTTTCTTGTTTTTGGTGGTGGCCATTAGTCCTTGGCATTCCTTCACTTGCAGTGCCATCATTCCAATCCATCATCTTGTGCCATTCTCCTTTCCTATATCTGTGTCTTTCTTTTTTTCTTTTTCTTTTCTTCTTTTTTCTCTTTTTTGAGACAGAGTATGTGGCATCATAGCTCACTACAGCCTCAAACTCCTGCTGTCAAGTGATTCCCCCCTGCCTTGACCTCCTAGGATTATAGGTGTGAGCCATTCCACCCAGCCTGTGTCTCTTTCTTGTCTCATATTGAGTTAAGTGTCTATCCTATTCCGTTATGACCTCATCTTAACTAGTTATTTCCTAATACAGTCACATTCTGGATTACCGGGGGTTAAGAGTTCAGCATATCTTTTGTGGGGGGGACACAATTCAACACATAATGACACATATAAATAGTGTGATAATAATTCAAGTGAGTCATCTTGCTTACTACCTTGTAAAATTCTTGAAGGTACAAAGTATTTCTTGGCCTGGCTTATACCTGTAATCTCAGCACCTTGGGAAACAAACTGAGGTGGGAGGATTGCTTGAGGCCAGGGATTTGAGACCAGACTGGGCAATAGGGTGAGACCCTCATCTCTATATAAAAATTTAAAAAGTTAGTCAGATGTTGTGCCTGTAGTCCCAGCCACTCAGGAGGCTGAGGCAAGAGGATCCCTTAAACCCAGGAGTTCAAGGTTACAGTGAGCTGTTATGTGCGACAGCATCTTGCATATCCTGTTTTCCCCATGGTGCTTTGCAAATAGGAAATATTTAGTAACTAACTTTAAAAAAAAATTGCCTCACTAGAGAAAATTATAATTAAATTCAAGAAGTGGGTAGGGGAATTGGTAAACTCCAGGTACAATGTAGTGGTATAGGGCACACCTCCTGGGTGGAGGACTCAAAACTCAGACTAGCTATTCTACAAAGAATTCTTCTGTGCTTCTTTCTCGTTTACCTAACAAAGGCAAACAATGTTACCTAATCATATGTACCCATACGTTAATTGGGGGGGGGGGGATTAGGACAAGATCTCACTGTGTTGCCTAGGATGATCTCCAACTCCTGGGCTCAACCAATCCCTTGCCTTAGACTCCTAGGTAGCTGAGTCTACCTGAGGTAGTTTTGCCTACAGGCAAACTACATCAACATCTAGCAGTAATTGTTGAATGGAAATTCAAAGTTCTCTATTGTTATCCATTTCCTAACTTTTGGAGTCACTAACCAGATCACATTAGTTTCTGATTTTTAAGTGACTG